GGGGTGGTGAGAATAGGGAAATATTTGTCATTCTCATCCGGGGCAAGAACAAAGGTGGCCAAAGATAAGACACCCGTAGAGACTATATTATCTTTGATGGGGGGTGTGTTCGTTATTCGTTGGTGGGCCAAGAATCGATTCCAGAACAGATTCCTGCGATTGTTGCTTCTGAGAAAAAGAACCGAACCCTTTGTCGTAAACTAACGATTCCCAATTACTCTATTTTTATCTTAACTTTTCTTTAAAGCATCTATGGCTTAATTTATTTTTCTTTCCAAATTCAAATGTATAGGTATTATATAGAGGGAAGCTATGGTCCATATTTTTCCAAATGTAGGGAAGCTATCTATGCTCATTTTTTTTTTTCCAAATAGAATAGGGAAGCTAGATCTTTTCTTTTTTCTTTCCAAATATAGGGAAGCTATGCTAATTTTTTTTCTTTCTATCCAAAAACAGGGAAGCTATGCTCAATGTTTTTCTTTCCAAATAATATAAGGAAGCAATTTTTTTCTTTCTTTCCAAAAAAGGGAAGCTACGCTTCATTTTTTTTATCGAATATTTTTGTGAGGCCCACAGCGGAAGCTACGCTCAAAATTAATTTTTAGTTCAAAGTTGGGAAGCTGAAATGCAAAAAGGGCTCGGTCGCAGAGGGAGCTAGGGCCTATAGATCTCTCTTTTTTTCTTGGTGGTGTTCAAATGCTAAAAAGGCTCGGCCCGCAGCTTAAGTTATGCTCAATTTTTCTGTCTCAAGCAGTGCCAAAAGAGACAACCTTGCTATGGGTCTCTTTTCCCTGTTGACATATCGGTTAGCCATTTTTTCCATCAGGCTCTCCCAGGATGAAGTAAGTGTTGAACATCCTTCAATACTCAAGGGAGACTAATCTTCTCTGCAAAATTAAAAAAAAAGTAGTTCTAGAAGTCTTCAATACACTTGTCTCCAGCCAGCTTGTCCGTTACACATCAGGACCACTTTTTCAACTTTCTGACCTGACAACCAACACTCCGGACGACAAAAGTATTTGTGGCACCGAGCTCCCAGTACCCCCAATAGGTTCTTGGACGCCAAGGTGAAAGCGTTCATGACGCTCATGATAGCAGTGAGCAGGACAAGTCAAGTTTGCTCTGAAGCGAGGAAGCAAAGGTTATATTATAAATAGAAGTTTCTACAGTCTAAGGTAGGCGGTTATGTTGCAAAACAACACGAGCAGCAGAATATAAAAAAGAGGAAAATCACCAGCTAGTCCTACCGATGGAAAAGTCTCAACACAAGAAATGTAGACTAGATCTAGTTGTTAATAATTATTAACGTCTCAGGCAGTCATTCTTTTTTCATATTATATTATTTAAGTACGGTACCTGTCAAACTATCATGGCTGATTTTTTAAAAATATTATTATTTTCATTGAGAGCAAACGCGAGAATCAGCATCGCGGATGTTTAAAAAAAATAGATTTGG